AAACGCTGCCTAGATCAGGCATGTCTCAGCTTGCCTTAACTGCCTTAAAATTCATTAACACACGCATAAAAACTACAAAAGAGGTACCTCTTATGCTCAAAGCAATATAAGTTAAAAATATTAAAACTTAGAAAATAAACATTAAATTTATCACAAAAACAGAAATGCAAATAGGGTAATGATGACACAGTAAAACTGAATTATCAATGCAGATTTAAAATTATGCATTTTCGTTGTTTGGTAATTGTCTGAAATTTATATGATCGTAATGTGATGATTTGAAATTACGATGAAAATTGATATTGTATTGGCGTAAATACATAGTGAACTTGGATGTTAATGTCATAGGCTTTAGTATATAACATGAAGTGTTTTTATTGAATAAGATCTTAATTTGTATTCAAGTTATTGGTTTGAATAAGCCCTCAAAGTTTCAAGAATAGCTTGTGAATAAGATCTAAGTGATTTCTCTAAAATACTTCCATATCCATGATAACACATTTCATATAATAGATATCATTTTACATGCCAGCTTGAATAGGCTGCCTAGATATGTTTTCTCATTGTTTGCTGATATATCCTAAGGAGTGTTGTTGATTACACAATCACAAAAGATAAGTGTTGCTGATTTATCCTAAGGAGTGTTGTTGATTACACAATCATTGTTTGCTGATATATCCTAAGGAGTGTTTGCTGATATGTAGCCTAATGATTTTGGGGTAATTATATTTCCAATCTTACTAAAACCTTAAAACCATATTGATGATCATCATTATAATTCACTAATGATAGTGTTTTGAATCAGGTATTATTCACCATGGACTTACAAATTAAAAGCAAGTTTGAGAAGGTATGAAAGTTTGAGAAGGTATGATTTTATACTATTGTGAATTCAATTTATTTTTTGAGAATCACAATTTACATTGCTTAATGCATACATATATGGTAGGAATTGAAAAAGAAATAAGATACTAAAGTTATGGAGCAAATATTATGTTGGTTGGGTTGGCGTTCATAATATTCTATTGGTTGTATTTATGTAGATTGTTTGAACAAATATTATATGTTCAAAAATTTAGATTTTATATGACTCTTGTAAGTTTTATTTTAACTATAACTCAATTTGGATGTGTTAATGTTAGTTTTAAAGTGATATATGAGTTCTAATTTAGCCCAGTTTCAAAATGATAAATCAGTTGAATTGATTTAGATGTAGAAGTGATGAATGAGTTCAAATAACTCTACTTTTTCAAAATAAAAATAATTACTTATTTAGTAAATTTTTTGAAGGTCCAATATCATCTCATAATAAACTAAAAAGAGTAGTTTTTTGATTAAAAAAAGTATAGTATTAGAACTCATCAAATTGGGTCATTGACCCAATATGTAATTAAAAAAAAAAATAAGATTTTTTAATGCATCCAATATATTTCTTAGGTGCTACGCGAAATTTTAAAAATGCTTCTAGTTTTCGAAAATACATCTCTGAAAACACTCCAACACCTATTCAACAAAGGTCATTCTGAGTTAGAATCTATTTTTTATTTTATTTTATTTTAGAGATATATTTTCATAAAGTTTTCGTAATTACGTTTCCTTAACTGAGACAAATTAGTAGCAGAACCAAAGACATACAATTTTCTAAAATGAAATTAAGATTCATAAAATAAAATTAGGATTACATAGATCATTTCAAAATAAAATGCAACATTACTTTAATATTCATGTGGATGCTTCAATATCTTCGCAATATCTTCGACCGATCTTGAAATCTTCGCTTCCAACTCAAGCGGGAGTTGGTACAATATGCTTTCTACGCAGATGTCGAACTAGTCAATGCAGCTGAGGCATTGAAAGATTCGAAGTGGGTGAAAGTAATGAATGTGGAGTTAGACTCCATCGAAGTCAACAACACTTGGTCACTTGTTGAATTACCTCAAGGTAAGAAGGCAATTGATGTGAAGTGGGTTTACAAGGTGAAAGTGAATCCTAAAGGAGAAGTAACTCGACACAAGGCGAGACTTGTGGCGGAAGAATTTCTTCAGAAGGAAGGAATCGACTTCGACGAAGTTTTTGCACCTGTTGCTAGGATTGAAACAATCATATTGGTTGTTGGTCTAGCAAATATGAACAATTGACACACATGTCAGATGGACGTGAAGTGTGCATTCCTTAATGGCCCTTTAGATGAAGAAGTTTATGTTGCACAACCAGCTGGGTTTATGAAATGAGGCGAAGAAAGAAAGGTGTACAGGCTACATAAAGCCCTGTATGGACTTAAGCAAGCTCCAAGAGTTCAGAATAATAAAATCGACAACTTCTTAAGGGAGAAGGAATTTGTGAAGTGTAGGACTGAGCATGAAGTGTACATAAGAAGAAGAAGTAGTGAACTGCTTATACTATGCCTCTATGTCGATGACCTATTGATAACAGAAAGTTGCAAGAAGGAGATCGAAGACTTCAAACATAACTTGAGTGAGGAGTTTGAAATGTCAGACTTGGGAAATCTCTAATGTTTCCTTAGCATCGAATTCTACAAGAGTAGTAGAGGTTTGATGATGCACCAAAGAAGATATGCAGGTGAAATATCAAGAGATTTGAGATGCAAGATTGCAACCCAACCTCGACTCTAACTGAGACCAGATTGCAACTGTCGAAGGATTCAAATGAAGATGATGTTGACCTAACCCAATATAGAATACTTATTGGGTCACTTCGATACCTTTTTCACACAAGGCTTGACTTAGCATACAATGTGGGTATGGTAAGTAGATTCATGTTGAAATCAAAGGTATCACACCTAGCAGCGGCGAAGAGGATATTGAGGTATCTGAAAGGGACTCTCGACTATGGTATTTTTTTTCCTGCAGCTGATGAAGGGAAAGAATGCAAGTTAGTGGGATACACCGACTCTAGCTGGTGTAGTGATGTTGAGGATAGAAAATCCACAGTTGGCTATGTGTTTATGCTAGGTGGTGCACAAGTTGCTTGGAGTTCGAGAAAGGAGTCAGTACTGGCATTGTCATAATGCGAAACAAAATATATAGCTGCTTCTCTTTGTGCATGTCAAGCAACCTGGATGGTGAACCTGGTCGAAGAGATCACAGTGAAAAGTCATGGAGCAATTACCATGAAGATCGACAACATGTCAGCTATCAACTTGGCAAAGAATTCAATAGCACACGATTGAAACAAGCACATCGAAATGAGATTTCATTATCTTCGAGGGCATGTAGCAGAAGGGAAGATGAACTTGAAACACTGCAGAACTAAGAATTAGATTGAGAAAATCATGACGAATGAAGTGTCAGTCAAAGTGCTAAAGTCTATGATGAATGTAGATAGTTTAGATACAATGAATTAGGTAGTGTGTTAAATATGTAATTCATTATTTTAGAAAGATTTGATTTGATTTAGAAAGATTAAATTAGATATTTTTGAGCTTTAATAGTTTGGGTTTTTCCTTGGGATGCAAGCTAACCTAAATCTATAAATAGGAAGAAACCCTTATTTTGTAAACATCTTATTTCATTTCATCTCATCATATTTTATAGTTCACAATTTGTAGTTGTAAATGAAATAACAGAATTTCCACAGTTTGTGGGCAGAGAATTCTCTGCAGAAAATTGTTCATTTTCTTCTCCAACGTTTACTTTTTTCCTTTCTTTCTAAACTTTTCTTTCATTGTCATTTCGTGAGTTGAAATAATTTTAAGATCGAGATTAATTGAGTGACGTTCTCCATAAATTATGGTTGAATTCTAACAACCTAAAGCTAAGAAATAGACAAAGATAAACCTATGATCACTAGGAAGCACTCCCTGCCAATCCAACCATCGAAAGATCTTATTCCACACATAAAAGACTAACAAATTATAAAAGATGGAAAACTGACTCCACCAACTCTCCACATAAAGGATGAGATATCCAACTAAAATAAGTAATCATCGTGTATTGATTAGAATTTTTTAAAAAGAAAAAGCTATCAAGAGAAGACTAAAACTTTCAGAGAGAGCCAACTATTTCAAATAAGAAGGTTCATGTTCCCAAGCATAAGAGACAACATGGAAACACCTAACTTAACATGATATAACCAGATGCCAAAGAGAAAGAAATAACTTTTTCTCGTATGCTTGCAAAGGCACATAGGAGACTCAATCCAACCACAAAACAAATAATGAAGAAAGAGATTGTAAAAATAGTTGAATGCTAGTTATTAACTCTATTCTCAAATAATGTGTGAGTAATTTCAATGCAATGTTTTCCTAAAAAGAGAGGCATAATTAGAGTATCCAACCAAAAGAATGAATTAATTCCAATAAAGACATTCATTACATAGATGGTTTGTGATCTAAGAAACTATCATTTTCTAATTTTGAACAAGTGTGAAGAAATGAACTTGATATTCGACTAGAAAAGAAAATGTCACTCCATAATTCAAGAAAGCATTATTTTTGGTCACAAAAGGTCTTTAAGTAGACAAGGTTAAGGTTGAAGTCATTGAGAAAGTCTATAGCATAAAAAATCATAGATTAAAAGTTTAAGGTGATAAAGTTAAAAGTAAGAATGCAATTGCTTATTGAAGGACCAAAACAAACAATACTACAAATATAGTTGAGCAATAGATTAACATGAAAAAATCTAGTACTAAAAGGTAACCAAACATTCAACATCACATGAAGAGAAAATTTACCATGTAAAACACAGGGATCATTATGAGAGCTTCAACACAAACATATCAAAATAATAAATGAAAGAAAGTGGCGATATAATTACCCGAAGTAAATACATCGAACAGAACAAAGTCTGTACAAGTTGATAGATACAAAGTTCTGGTGCCCAGATTAAATGAGTTGGGCAGTTGTGAACTGTCTATATTATGTGCAAGTACATATACAAATTACATTACTTAACAAAAATATGAAGAATTCTGTCCAAAAAATAAATTATCCAGAAGAATAATATAGGTAGGAAGAGAGAAGGAACTTATTGATTCCTTTCCTATGCATCCTTCCTTCCAGTAGCCAAGGCTTCTGATTTGCATATAGGACAGACGTTCTTCACAAGCAACCACTTCGTCAGGCAATCTACGTGATACTCATGCTCGCATCGAAGAATGCCGATCTTTTCCTTGTTCTTAAACTCCTCCTAAGGAATTGCATGCGAATACGAGGATACATTAAAGGAAGAATTACCTCGGTCTGATTGAAATAGAACTATCAAGTACAAAATTATTTTTTGGAAATATAAAACCATTTGCTAAAAGATCGTACCTGACATATGATGCAGGAATCAGATTCCTGATCGTCAGAAGCTGCCTCCTCCAGATTAATAGCAGTGGCTTTTGTTGAATAAATCTTCGTCTTTAGCTTATTCGCAATTGTTTCCTCTGATAAGCCAGTGTTTACACTGCCAATCCTCTCGCCCAATGCAAGAAGATCCTGTAGTCAAACTTTAAATCTAAGACCTTGTTTGGATAAACAACTAAATTAAACGACTATAGCACAAACACTTGTCAGTTATCATACAAGGGCCATGTATAAATTATTTCTATACTAAAAGATGAGATAAAATAAAATCACTCTTTTTAAACAAGTATAGGTTGTTTTCTTAAGCTAACTTGGAGAGCTTAAGAAAATAGGATGAAAATAATGTATGGACATGTCATAAAGTTGTTTTCTTAAGTTCTCCCAAACAATCTCAAATGCTTATGCCAATAAATAAGCTGAAATAAGCCAACCCAAACAGGTTTAAAGTATTTACAAGTTTTCTATAACATTTAAATCACATTATCATAGACTTCAAACATGTATGCCTTGACAGAAAAACACAGTTTGAATCTCAATACACTTACCTCATAAGACATGTCCTCTATGTCCAGGCGCATATCTCGGTGATGATCAATCAGATTTCCCACTTCATCAATTAAAGCAACATCCTATACAGATAAAGTTTAATTGAATAACAAAATCAATGTATTTGTAACATATGGAAACAAATCATTGGACCAAACATGTCTTAGGAAATATTACGTCAACTTGGAGGAAGCCCACGGGAGGTAGACTTCGATGTGCGAGAGCTGTCTCTGGCATGAGCCTGTGAGGTCGGTATATCCGGAAGCCTGTTGATGGTGCAGGGATAATATGCCTGGGACCTGCCTCAAAACCAGTCGGTGGAGGGATCACGGAACCGCGAGGAGGATTTGGTGGAACCCTGAATGAAGCTGCAGTCACCGGAGGATGAAAGTTGATATTGTGACCTCTTATTCCTTGCATTGGAAGTGTTGGGTGATGATAATTAGGGTGCTGTTGGTTGACAGGAGGAGGCGGAGGAGGAAACCTCAGGACATTTCTGTTACCGGCTGCCTCGTGATACCGCTGCAAACCCATACTTGCACTCTCTAATGAACCTCCGTTAATATTGGGTGCTGGACAATAATAGTGAGAACGGTCAGAACACCTAAACTCATGACCGACATAGCAAATTCAAAGAAAAGTGAGTGCATTTGTCTAGCATTAGTTGACACCATGGAAGGTACATCGCAAACAAAATCAAAACATCTACGCATTTATCAACAAGGCGTTTCATTTTCATAAATGCATTGCTTGGTTGAGACTACCACATCCAAGAAGCCTTAGTTTCCACTTTTCATTACAAAGCCTGAAAAAAGCTTCTTACATTTTGTAACAACTTACACACACAACATCCAAGTAATGAAAAAAAAAATCACTAAAAGGAGAACCTCAAAACAAGAAGGAAAAAAAAACCATCTTTACCTTGTATGTAAGGCATTGGAACAGGCGGATTCCAAGCTGTAGAATGGCCATCATTACTATTACTATTCACTTGCTGGTCCAACCAAGGAGGAGCCGCTGGTGGAAAGTGCTGCCCCAAATAGTTTCCGTGTATCAAATGGTTATGGTCATGCATCATAATAGACTCACCTGACCTGCTCCAAGCACCACCATGTGGCCCTACTCCAATGAGCGAAGGGACGCGGAATGGCAATGGCGCAGTATCCATCATAGCAACCCCATCAGGGTGTCTTGCATTTGGGGGAGCAATAGAAGAACTAGTTGAAGCATTAAAATGTTGGTGGTTTCCTCTTATTCCTTCAGCAATTTTCCTTTTGTACGGACCTCTTCCGTCATCCACAAAACCATTGCTTCTTCCGAAATTATCCAAGGAAACTCCGGAAATTGCGAATGTACTTGAACCTGGCATCTGATCAGAGGCTCTATGAGGCAGAGGGTAAACGCCGGTACTCGAAGAAGGATTCATGCCAGAATAGTATATGTTGCCTGCAGTTGCAACGCCCATATCAAGATTATGTTGAGGCTGAATGCCGTTGTATTGTGAAATCCCATACACCCTAGCATTGTCATAAGCATCTGGTAAATAGTGAGAATCGCCATTAGATGTGTTCCCTGAAGCAGTCACCACCGATCGGATATTAGGATGTCCGACACTGGGACCTCTCATAAGAACACAATGTTCAGATTGAAAATAGCCTTGCCGTTGTTGATCCATATCCGAATCCGTCATCTGATCCATAATGTAGAGATGTGTTGTTGCAAGTTAATCCTAATATTCCATGAAAGGTGAAAATTCTTAAAATCAGCCAGGCAATAAGGAAAAAAGATTAAAATCCAAATACAGTTACAGCAAATCAATATCCATTAAAATCCAAATACAATAACAGAAAAGCAATCTACAGCGCATGATAAAGCATAAAGATATAGTTAATGTTTCACATGCTAACTTTACATATCAACATTAGTCATTAATAACTAACCAGTTCCTTGGATAAATAAGATAAATAATTTATCATACATTCAATGAACATATAAGATGCAGCTTCGATGAGAAACAACACATTGAGTTAATGAGAAACAAGTGTAATCCAAGTCAAAACACAAACCAACAATATCATTTCGAGTCAAAACACGTCACTCCTAATAAAATTCCTTCAATCATATGCAAAATGACACCCTCTAAATCATTAAATTATGTAAAGTTTCAAAGTAATGAATTTTAGAGCCCTTATAAGAATCAACAAACACATTAAACCAAGAGGTTGAATTGAAGCGATTAATGAGCTTCAATTAAGGCTAAACCCATCGAAATACCTGAGTTATAACTTTGATCAGGTTTAACTTACCTCCTCGTTAAACTTCGGATTACCAAGGCTCATTTATCTTAAAAGACCAAAAAAAAAAAAAAAAAATCAAAAATCATAAAAAGTGGAGGAAAAAAAAAGTTTTTTTTCTTCTTCTTTAACCATTATTTTTCAGGTTTATGATGAGAGAAGAAAGTACATAACCCATATCATCCACCCAAAATTATCACCGACCAAACAAAAATAAAGGAACAGATAACAAACTGTACCTTGTTATCATCAAAACAAGAGCTTGCAACTTGTGAGTATCAGAGATCAATATAACATACGATGAACTATCCCAAACCTAACTCTGTTGAAAATTCACAAAAAATAAAAGCAAAAAATTAATTTTTTTTAATTAAAAAAGCAAAATTTATCAATGGGGTTAACGGAAAAACGTCAAAAATCATAATCGGAGAAATGTGGGCGCAACCCAAGAATGCAAGTTCTTTAATTTCATCGAAAAACACAAATGGGGGAGATTTTAACCCTAAATTGTGAGGGGGGGAAATAGAGAAATTGAAGATGAAAAATTGAAAATTTGAGGGAGGAAAATAGAATTACCGGGAAGAGAAACGAAGGATGAGAATGAAGGATCGGAGAAGAAGAGGAGAGGAGAGGAGAAAAGAAAAGAGAGAGAAAAAGAAAAGACGAAATGAGGGGAAGAAGAGAAAAGGAGAGAATGAAAATATATGATTATATGAAAGAGAGAGGATCGTGTCTTTCATTGGAGAGAAAATTTCATCACTTATGCAAAAAAAAAAAAAAAAAATTAATAATAATAAAAATTTACTAATATTTGTGCTTAAATTTTTTTATTTTATACAAATATATCTCAATAAATGTTTATCTAGAGAAAAAAAATATATATTCTGATGATATAAAATATTTTTCTATCATCAATTAATAGAAAAAAAAATATTCTGATAATATAAAATATTTTTATACTATCAATCAATAAAAGACGAATATTTTGCTAAGTTATATTTTTTATTAGAAATTTTTAATTTAAAAAATTGAATGTTATAATGTTAGTGGATGATGATACAAAATTATTTTATGCAGAGTATTTTATTTAACTTTATTTATCTCTAATATTATTTATCTAATTTGATTGAATTCATGTGCAAATAAATTATATTTTCAGTGTTAAAATAATATTAACTTGTATCTTAAAGATTTTAGGACACAAGTTAAAAAATTTATAAATAAAAAAAATATTTAAAAAAGTAATAAAATTATTAATTATAATATTATATTAATTTTAATACAGAATTTTTAATAAATTTTTATCATATTCATGTTTTAACTTATATTTTTGAGACACAAATTAACATTAGGGTTATTTTTAATATTAATAAATATACATTATACAATGAATTATGATAAAGGTCAAAAGATATATACCAAATATTTGAAGTATAATTATTATATTTAGATTTTTTCCAATTTTTTAGGTAATAGCTCTTTATTATGAAATTTACCTTTTTTTCTAAAAAAGATAGTAATTTAATTTGGCATAACTTATTAGGTAATATGTATTTTTTTCCTAATTTGTTTTTTTAAGCATATCCAATTTCGAAGTTTAAAATACAAATAAATAAATATTAATTATTATACTCTTTTAATGTAAAAAGAAAAATTATATTGTATCAAGATTATTCATAGATATCATTTTAGATGTAACTAAAATTAAAGTCAAATATTCGTAAAATTTAACGGTTATAATTGATTGATAAATATAAAAATATATCAATTAAATTTATAAAATAAATAAAATATTAATATTTGAATTTAATTTACATGTACAATTGTAAAAAAATATTTTATATTATCAATTAATCACAATTGTTAAATTATTTAAAATATTTAATCTTTATTTTAACTCTTAAAATATTTTACAGTCTTAGCTATTAAAATTTTATTATTTTTTTATTTCTGGGTTTCACGAATTAGACCAAGTTTTAATGTTTCATGAGTCATTAGAAGAAAAAAATTATTTCACATGCAAGGCAAGTCAAAGGATATATTATTTTACAAATGATAATTATTGTTAAAACGTGCCAATAAAATTGTCTTTTGTAGAGTATTTCTTAATAAAATAGTGTATATTTGTTAAATGACTACTTTGATAAATAAACTTTAATTAAATAAAGAAACCAATTTTTAGTTTTATGAAGCCAAAGGTTTAATTATGATGATTAATAAGGTATATAACAAGAATTCATCAACTAACTAATTCTTGAACTTTGATAGGTTTAATTTTGTTAAACTACTACTAGCCTTCTCATGCGGCATGCATGATTAAAAAATGAGCATAAGTTTTTCTTTCTTAACTGAAAAAAAGGGACATAAGTTGAATTATTTAATTTTATAATCACATGAATTGAAACTACTATTTTGTTTGTTTTGAAATTATTATTTAAAAAAAGAATTTCAGAGTTGTGAGAAAGTGGCTTATATTTTAGTCCTTTTGATGAGATTAGGTATCCAATCATGTGGTGAAGCATGGCGGTGATTAACACACACTCCCCATAGTTTTTAGGTTTAAAATGGCAGCAATACCAAAAGTAAAAATTTATTTTCTTTTATTTTCTCTAAACTTTATTTATTTGCATTTGGTTTTTAGCTTCTTTTAAAATTATTTGATGACTAAGATAGGATAGAGACAAATAGGATATTGGATAAGAATATACTTCTTTCTTACGTAGGATAATTAGTGATTCGTTTGTAAAAAAAAAATTTTTTTTATATATTTATAATTTTTACTAATAATTTTGTTTAATTATTCTCTTTTATTTTAATTGAAAATTTAAATTTTAGTCAACGTAAAATAAAAGAATTGTCATTTTAATGACATTAGTTTATTCTTTAATATCTATGACTATGAGTATTTTATTTAAAAGCATTATTAAGGTAAAATAGATAACATTATATTTTTTTTATATTTTACACAAATTAAAAAACATAATTAATTTTATTTAGAGAAAAAAAAACTACTCGTTAATATTATTCTTCATATACTATTTGAAAGAGAAATTTAATGAATTGAAATAAAATAATAATAATAATAATAATAATGATAAAATATATGTTAGAAAATTAGCATTAATATTACATTAAAATTATAAAATAACTTATAATTTAAAGAAAACAATTTTTTTAAATGGATTATAATTGGGATAGGGAGTACTCTTTTGTATGATAATTAGTGATTCATTGGCATATAACATTTTAGTCAAAAGTAAATTATTATTTTAATTTATAATATAATATAAATTATTTATTTTTAAGTGTAATACACAATTAATATTACTTATTACTTTAGTTTTATTCTTTATCTTATTTTTAAGGTACTAATAATTTAACTTAATTAAAGTTTTGGTTTTTCTATATTTAATTATTTATTGAATTATTTTTTTTTATTTCAAATTCTATATCATAACTTTAATTTTAGATCTGACTTCGTCCTTTTGGAATGTTAACTGATCTATTAACATACTTAAAAGTCTATTTTATTTGAATTTATGTAAATAAGCAATTCAATTAATGTTTAAATAGACTAACAAATTAAAATATCAATGAGAATAAATATTTGTTTATATTTATTTATTCAAATTTATTTAATAGCACAAATTTTGTGATATTATTTATTTGAGAGAACTTAAAAAAATAACTTATAATATTATTTATATTTTTTTTAAATTTATTTTCATGAATTCTTTAAAATAACTGAGATTTATATTTATATTTTAATTTAAAGTATATAATATAATATTGATAATAAAATTATTTATATTTTTATATAAGTAAATCGGTCTGATAGATTTATAAGACTTTTTTTATGACATAAAGCATAATCTTTTTAATCAAATAAGTTTATAAAAAAATTTAAATATTTTCTTTTTTTTTTAAGTCGGACATGATATAAACATGTGTAGACTAGGTGATAGATTCATATTTATTCTCACCATATATACAATTATACAATGAATGAAATAACAAATATTATTCTAATGTTTTAAAGAGTATATATTATACTATTTTATTACATATAAATGTATGTATAGATGAATTAAATAACATTAGTCAAAAACAAATAAATTAAATATTATTAAGATACGTATTACATGTGAACGATATTATTATTTATATAATGTGAATATTAAACATTGTGTGACTTTTTCTTTTTAGAGCAAGACTTTTGTGAGAGACACGTTATATATTCACTCAAACTTTAAGGTGGTAGATGTATGAGTTCTCTCACTTATAAATACTCAAGTCACCACATTCATATCCAATATGAAATTATTATACATATTAATTAATACTTTCATTCTAATAATATTATTATATTCTTTAATATCTACTTGTATTTTATTTAAAATTATGA